CCTCAATTTAAGCTATACATTTAATGTAATTTAAATTAAAACCCAAGAAAGTGTGTGTGTGTGTGGTTTTTAGTGGGGGAAGGGGAAGAGTTCAAAAAGGTATTCAAAACTTCAAGTAGAAAAATCATAGAATGACCCTCCCTCAACCCCAAACACACATACAGAAAAACGGGGAAAAAATACAGTAATAAGGGAGACTTTACACTATCAAATTAGAGTATTACAAAACCTCAAAAGTTAAGACAGTGTAATTCTGGTATAGAAGCATATAGATAGATGAGGAGAAAAATATAAAGTCCAGAAACGGATCTCAGTACATACTGAAGAACTGCATCTTATTCAGAGATTAGATTATAAAGTTATCACACAAAGTGAAAATTCTCATACAGGCAAAAATTACCCAAGAAAAGTCCTGGATCATGTCAAAATCAGTAGAAACTGAACCACAGGAAGCTCAGAAGTCAAGAACTAACTTTTATTGTTTCTCTTTACATTTCATCTCCCTCACCTCCACAGTCTTTAGTCAAAATGCAAGGATGATATACAGTGCTATTACAAAGAATTAAGTATTTGATGAGAGCTGCTATCCTATTTAGTGAGACCACAATCCTATATAATAAAAAGCTAATATGCAAATAGACCAAACGGTGGAACAACCAACCAACCAAACAACCAGTCACTATGATGTGCGCTGACCACCAGGGGGCGGTGGGTGCTGGCCGCGGCGGGATGGTGGAGCAGGTGAGTGGGGGTGCCAGACCAAGGCGGGACGAGCCTCTGGTGGTTATTGAAAATTCTTTGCTCCCGCGCGCTGTGGTCCCACCCGGCGCTCACACCTGCTGCTGGCGCCAGTCCCACTCATACACACTGCCAGTGCCAGCCCTGCTCGCACCTGCTGCTGGTGCCTGGTGCTGGTCCTGACCACTCAGCGCCATCAGCAGGTGCAAGCAGTGGCTGTCGGCCCCAATCATCCCTGACGGCTTCTCTACCTCTCCCTGCTCCTGAGGGGCGATCGGGGCAGCAGCCACCGCTCGCACTCACTGACCACACTGGCCCCACTCACTCTCACTGCTGGTCCCAATCGCTCCGCGCCATCAGTGGGCGCGAGTGGGGCCAACACTGTCAATGCGTGGGAGCAGCAGTGGCGGGAGCGGGGCTGCCAGCAGACAGGGGATCAGGGGCTGCAGCAGGAGGGGCCAGGCAAGGGCGTGGAGGATGGGCCGAGACCCGCCCCTGTGCCTACCACGGCCTCGCAGCCCACAGTTCAAGGTGCATGAATTATGAATTTGTGCAATGGGCCCCTAGTAATGTAATAAAGAGTATGGAATAGTCTGCAACATGGCCCAGGTAAGGATGGCACCTTTGCTCTTATCCATCATACCAGGAAAGCAGCAGCTGCAGGAGAGGCTGCAGGCACTACTACCAGACACATGCCCAGCCTCATCCAGGCAGCTGAAGGTCAGCGCTTTTGCTGTATTTGAGGAAGGTAATGAAAACCTGCAGATCAAGCCTTAAGCATCTAAATGAGAATACTCTAAAAATTTTAAGTAGCAAAAATGTTGTTCAATAGGATCAAGATCCCATTTAGGGAGCCTTGACCTATGGAAAGATTTCATGGGGTGGTGTCACTGAGCACCTCAATTAGGAAAAAAATTGTTTCAACTTTTCTCGACACCCAATGCCCCTCCATTAATCAACCACACCTTCATATATATGAATGCTTTTGAAAAGTGAAATATTATAGTAGCAGACTTTGCATAGTAAAATTGGGAATAATTTCTCTAACTTTTACATTTTCCATAATAACCATGTACTTCATTTGTTAAAAGAAACTTGCAATATTATAAAAAAGAAAAAACATAATATGAAAGACCACCTCCACTCAAGTTAAATGTTAAGCTAACATCTACATGCTTTCATTTTATGTAAGATTAATCTACCAAAGTTTCTAGCAAGAAAAGAACTCACAGTAGGGAGGAAAATATGACTTTTCTGTATTGTTAATGTTAAAGAAATTATTTTAAAAGGCTAGAAGAAACAGCAAGCATATAAACCATTCATTCTGTAAGATGATTCATGCAAAATCACTTTGTACAACATAACAGTTACAAAAGTTATCCTAATGCACTGAAAACATCAAAACCTGAAATATGGTAAAAAATTATATTTTCCTTGTCAAGGAATTTTTCAGTGTCGCAAGTTAGTCATGATTTGTGAATCTCATTGCATCAAAATAAAGGTGACCAAATGTTTTTGGTAAAGTAATTTCACTCTAAAAATCCATGATAACTGAAGGTATTTACTCATACACTCACAGCTAAACAGTAATATCAAATGTTAAGAGCTCGGGGGTATAAAGGACTGAATTCCAAAACTAAGGAACATTTAAATAGGTCAATGATTAAAGTACATTATTCAGTATTTTTTGTAAAGTACAAAACGTGGTAAGACCTTATAAAAACTCTGGCACGTGTTTCCCTCACATATTATGAACTTCATTGGCAGGTTAAGTCAAAACATCATCACAGGTGAAATTAGTAAAAATGGTGGAGTAAAGAACTCCTAAGTACAGCCCTCCATAAAAGCAACGGAAAAAAAATGGCACAACTGTCACAATCAGCTTTCTTAGGATTCGGGAAACTAAAGCTTGCCACAGCCAGGAGAGCACTTTATGAAGAAAAACCAGGACATTTCAGTAAGAACAGAGAGTTTTGTGGTATATTACCTTACCTTAGTCCCATCGCCCTGCTCTCCAACTCAGCAGTAGCCTTGAAGTAAGACTGCATTTCAGCCACCGGTACCAGAGGAGCAGAACGGGGCCTCATTCTCAAATAATTTTAATTATTTGTTTTGACGTGTCTGGTGGCTTTTAAAGACAAAACAAGTCCAAAAAAAGTACTTGCCCTATTTTGTCCAACTCAGCATCCAACCAGTGCTACAGGGACCATATGGAAGACATTCACCAGCGATTATGTTAGCTGCTGCTGCCTGAGTTCATGGGTAATAGTTGGACTGAAGAGTAGCCTAACTGACAGCTTGGAGGAAAGGGCGGGGAGGGAGTAAGGGGCTTTAGGGAATAAGGGCTTTGAATAGCTCTGACATATTCCTGGGAACCCACAAGACCACACACATGCTGAAAGACCCAAAGAGAGCTGGGTGGCCATACAAATGTCAGAAAAAAACACGCCTGAAGACAAAAATTGTTATGTGAGAGAAAGGACATTTTAAAATGCATGGATTCGTGCACCGGTGGGGGCCCTCGGCCTGGCCTGGCCTGGCCTGGCTGCCAGAATTGGCCGAAACCAGCTCTCTGACATCCCCCAGGGGTCCTTGATTGCGAGAGGGCAGTTCTCAGGTGACGGACCCAGGAATCGGGCTACCTCCTCTCTGGTTCTGGGTGCATCACCCGAGAACCGCAGCTGCCAAGTCACCACGGCTCGGCACCTCCTGCATTGAGCGTCTGCCCCTTGGTGGTCAGTGCGCATCATAGCTACCAGGTGGAGCCTCTGTACCCTAGTGATCATTGCGTGTCATAGCTACAGGTCGGACAGTTGAAGGGTCACTTAGGCTTTTGTATATATAGATTTAAAAGAAAGTCAATCCATCAAGAATATCAAGCAATTATAAATATATGTAAACCTAAGGCAGAGTCCCAAAATACATAAAGCATAAATTGATAGAACTGAAAGAAGTAGGAAATTCAACAATAATAGTTGGAGACTTCAATACACTACTTTCAATAATGGATATAAAACCTAACAGGAGGTCCAAAGGAAACTGAAAATCTGAACAACATAAACCAAATAGATCTAACGTATCTACAGAACATTCCACCCAACAAGAGCAAAATATACATTCTTCTCCAGGGCACCTGAATATTCTCTAGGACAGACCATATGTTGGGCCACAAAACAGGTCTCAATAAATTTTAAAAGATTAAAGTTATACAAATATGTTCTCCAAACAAAATTAGAAATCAATAACAGAAGGAAATTTGGAAAATTCACCCTGGATATACTTGCTTTTCTTTAATTTTGCCAAGTATGTACCCTAACATTATAATAGAGGTTTTGGCCAAGGCAATTAGGCAAGAAAAAGAAATAAAATGCATCCAGATTGGAAAGAACAAAACTATATTTATATATTTATAAGATGGCATTATCCACTATATAAAGCAAACAAACAAACAACTAATGTATCCACAAAAATGTCTATTAGAGTTAATAGAATTCAGTAAGTTTTTATACTCTATACTGTTTTGGAAGCTTTATAACCTGGAATTACTGAGATTTTTCATATCAGTGATGCTCTTTGCACATACCTAAATAGTTTAAGATAAAAATTCAATTTACCTTAAAATGCTTAGTTTAACAGAATCAATTCTATGTTAAACATGGCTAATTCTGACATTAGGGAATCAGAGTATGATTTTATGTCAACTGCCTCTAAGAAACCACCAGATGAGTCACAGGAGAAAGAGCACAGAACTTGGAATTGGCCACTGGCAGAGAAAGCCAACCTCTATGGAACGCTCTAATTAACAAATCTGTAATTAACAAGTGTAACCTAGGCAAAAAGATAAATCACTAAAAACCATTTCCCCAGATTAGACAGGCCTAAGCAAGCCTCAAGTCAGTCAGATGTTTCAAAACAACAAGGAAAGACTCTAAGGGACTTCATGTTTCAACCAATAATGGACCTTCTAAAAAGTCTGAAATACTCCAGTAAGGGGTGGGAATTAAAATAAGCTCCAGGAAAAGATTTGCTTTAATAAACCATTAAATTCAGTAAGATCACTATTATCAAATCAATAAACATTGATATTTTTCACAATCAACTAATCCTCCCAAAACCCATACCTCCA